TTTTGGTCAGCTAAGTCACATGGTATTGCTTCTACTCCCTGATTGGGAGACAAACATTTTTAAACAAAATGACAAATAATTAACAGAAAAGAATTAAACTTCTGATACAAATTGTTGGACAAATAATCAGTTGTGAAAGTTTGGGGATTTATCAGTATTTTCACGAGTGCTGAGCGGGATGGATACACTCTTAAGAACATAAAAATGGCCATACTGGGTCAGACCAATGGTCCATCTGGCCAAGTATGTCTTCCGACAATGGCCAGTGCCAGCTAGTTCATAGGGAATGAACAGAACACAACAATTATCAAGTGATCCATGCCCCGTTGTCCAGTCCCCTCCATGAACTTATCTCATAGACAATAAATCGCAGCAAACTGAGTTCATCACTTTTAGTTACAAATCACATTTTGTTTTATTCTACCAGTTCTGAAGACAAAAGTTTCATTTTGTATGATAAGTTTTTATATAACATTTCATCCTTAAATGTAGCTCAGAAACAAGTCTTACTGAGGGTCTCTTCTCATGGAAAAGTGCAGCCCATTGGAAAGATGGAAGTCTGCATCTGGTTAAAATGTGCAAAACGGCATAATGGTATAGTACAAGCGCATTGGGAAATTAGAGAGAGGGTTTGAAAAATAAGTGGTTTATAATGGGAGTTAGTTCTTGTTCCGGGAGTTGTATGATTAAAGTAATGGTATGTTAACATACCAATTCTCTCTGAACTATTATAGCCCACTGGAATATGGTTTGTAACACAGTGGTAGCAACGTAAAAGTGTTTTGCTGGCGTTAGGGAGAGGGGGAAATTCAATTTTGGTTAAGAATGGTTTGTTGAAAATCCCTAGCCAGTGGCAATTCCGAATTCCCAAAGGGCTGCAACGTAGGGAATTGCAACTTCAACTTAAAATAAAAAATAAATTAATGGAGATATCCTATCTGAGCCTCCCAGGTGAGCGCCCTAACCATTGTCCATTATACAGAGTGGAACAGCTCCAAAAGGAGAGAATGACACAATAGCAGAACTTGACTCAATCGCGTGGTGGTTAGATCAGTCACTTGGGATGTAGGAGACCTAGGTTTGAATACCTGCTCCAAATCAAGCAGAACAGGGAACTGAAGCTGGCCTTCCCACATCCCCGATGAGCAATTTCACCCTGGACCCAAGAAACCTTACCAACAAAAATTTTCCTAGAAACCAATACATTTCTATGAAAAGTTTCCATTTCTATGAGTTGGCATTTTTGGTCAAAAAATTCCCAGCCAGCTCTACCTAAACTGTGATAATTTTACACCAGGTATCACCGTGCAAAAAGACTCTCTTCTAGTGCTCAGGTTTCATTTCCATTCAAATAACCAAGGCTGGGGGGAAAAAAATTCTCTCCAGAATCCCTGACCAGCCAAATGAAATGGATTTTGGCAGCCCACAGGGCTAACACAGCTAAACCACGTGCACACAGGGATCACTGCTGCCTACTCTGTGCATACCGCGTACATTGGTAAACCTAATTTTCTCCTCTCCTGCTCTTTCAAAGTGAAATTGACCCATGCAGATGTAACCCATCCCCATTCAGTGTGACACCTGTCCCCCTCTAGTGACAGGTGGTCCACATATAAGTGGTTGATGAGTCTCTCCTTAGCTGAGAGAGCTGGATTTTTATAGCCAAGGCACTAGAAGCTCACGCGTTAGCTCCAGAGCCCCCAAATTCAATTCCCACTGCTAATGATCCTCCACCAGCATGAGGCTTCCGCACCACTCAAGTCTCACCTGTGGCCTGTTTTTAAGATATAAGTGGAAGCTAGGTTTCATGCTGCTGCTGCCCTCCCAAGTGTTAATTTCACCCTACTGAAACACCCAACTCTTTCACATGATCATATGAGCCAGTCGGCATAAATCATCAGGGCCAGAAATGTCCATGTCCTGACCCCTTTGCATTTTTAGCTCCCATCTTCACATCATTCCCACTCTTTTTTTTTAATTTCCTCATTTCTTGACTGTATTCAGGGATTGTGCCCTCCCTGGTCACCTCTCCCCAGCTGCCCGTGCCACTGCCCCAACTGATCTTACGGTTCAGAACTGTTTTCTAATGTCCCTAGGAGGATATTTCATCTGCTCAGGAAGAAGGGAACATCAGAGGGACATGTCATAGGTATTGGAGCTCAGAGTACTTACCAGCAGGGAGTGACGGCACAATGGACAGTCTGCGGCAGCTAGATACAAAAATGGCTGTTCTAGGGCGGCAGCTACTGACTCTCTCAAATTTAAAGAGCCAGTAAGCAGAAAAGCATGCTGGGAAAGGCTAGTGAGCCCACATTGGAAACCAAATGATCGCAGAGGAAACAGTTACTTGAGATGGGCTGAAGTCCCACCTTTGTAAGGGCCAGGAATGTGGGTGGAAGACACCCTGGGCTGTCTCAAGGCTGGAACCTGGTGGTTTTGCAATAGTTATGTCCCTGTGATGCAATGGTTTTTTTAGATGTTCTTTGTATGTCTGACCAGCCTGTACTGAAACCTTAGTGTGGCTGCACTTTGGGGTCCTACCTCTGTGTCCTGCTGTTCTCTCATCTCTAGAGAGACCTGGGTTCTATGTGCCACTCACTCAACATTCTCTGTGCCTCTTCTATCTCAGCTAGGAAATGATGATGATGGTAACCTGGCTTTGCAAAGAATTTGAGACACATTGATAAAAATAGCTACAGCTGGTTACAAGATTTTGACAGAAAACTTTTACTACCAAACTGGGTTTGCTTTGAAAATATCATTTTTCATGGCAAAATATCATTTATGATTGAAGTTATTTTTCCTTTTCTTGTGCAGGAAATTGCACAATTACCTTGTCTTATTTCATATTGAAATTTCAGTTTTGGTTTTTGAAAATGGAAAATTTTCAAAATGTCAGATTTTTGGTTTTTCTGCCTTTCCCTTGCTATTTCCGTCTCTCTTTTTTTGGCCACCAAAGGCAATAGAAACTCTGAAACTTTTCCAAAGTTGGAGAAGTTTTGAATATTTACAGTGTGAAAAACGTGGAAAGAAAATCAACACATCATTCCATTTAACACATTCAGCGGCCAAAAAAAAGTTTGTGTGAACGTTTTGGGAGGGAGGGGAATCCAATTTTTTTTTTTTTAAAGGCCAGTTTTCAAAATCTTACCCACAAGGAAAAATCTCAGTTTGAAATGAAAATGTTGATTTGAATCAAAATCCTATGAACATTTCCTTTCAAAAATTTCTCCTGAAAAATTTCAGACGATAATTTTCCAGCTGAATTTTTTCCTAGGGAAAAATGGTTTTTCTGACTCGCTGTATATGTAAGGGAATATGAAAGCTTTGTGTCTGTGTCACTGCACAGACTGTGCGCCCCATTTAATGGATGATTGATCATTTACCAGCTGCGATGGTGGCACTGCCAATCACATGCAGGCTGCAACTTTCCTGTTTGTGACCACTGCTAAATTATAAATAAGCACTGTGTCCTGCACCAGCCATGCTGACCAGCTCCCTGAGTACCATTCCACTCTTCCACTCCCTCCTCAATAGGCTGGCTGTAATCAACATTTGCAGGCTCCCTGAGTCAGGCATGCTCAACACCACTTCAAAGCAGAAAGACAATCAAGGCCTCCTTCTGGCATTTGATGTATGCAGATCCTGGTAGCATGTGACATTGAGGAAAGCCAGATCACACAGTAAAATGTGAGTTTTGTGGAGAGGGGTATCCTTTGTGCATCAAATTCTTTATTTCTTGTCAAGTGTTCCCCACGGCAAATGGGCCTTGCTTACAATTATTAAATGGTCACCCCACCAAAGTGTAGCCAGCTCACAAATAGGGTCATTTTCATGAGCAGACTCCGTAACAAACTTCTGGACTAATGGATTCAGCTGAACCAGAGGAAATGTCACTGAGCAAGACCCCAGATATAGATTGTGATCGTCTCTGGATGCAAACATTTTTATCAATATGTGTAACTTTCTCAGCGCAAGTTAATCTCAGTTGACAGTGAATGCTGCCCTCTGTCCAAACACTTGACAAGGTCACATGACAAGAAAGCCAGGGAGATCTGTGACTGACAAGGTCACATGATCACTGGGTGACCCTGCCAGAAAGTCTGAATATAACTGACACTTTACCAAAAATGTTTAAATAGTCAGAATCCCTGTAGAAAACTTGGGGGGCGGGAGCAGTCGAAGAAGGCGGAGGGAAATGTGTGTGGAATACGACAATGTCTTGTTTATATGCCAGAGGAGTCTCTGATACATTTTTTTTCCTTCCTAGAGCTCACCGAACAGAATAATCCTGGCAAGGTGCAATTTCCAAAGCCCTGGGAGGTGATGGGAAAACGTTCACCATTATTTTCATCTATGTAAACAAAATTACGAAGGATGCATTAGGCACAAAATTACTAGTTACAGTTCGCTGTAGAGTGACATAACCAGGATTCATTGGCAAGAAAGCACCTTTGACACATTAACATGTTCAGCTTTGCCTTCCCTCTCTCTGTGATCAATTTCAGCTCACACATGGATGATGCAAGGCATGCCAGGATCACGGTTTAATGGAAGGAACGTGCCCAGATTATGCCTAGTGAAGGGCACTCCGTCTGTGATTCTCGCATCACATATGCATGATCCTTACATTTTTAGCTGTAGGAGGCCTCATGGTGTCTTTCTCGGAGCAAACCGAAGTCCATACACATTATCCAAACCATCATTTGCATGCTAATTTGGAAATGTCTTGACCTAACAGCTGTCAGTAGCACGCAGGAAGAAAATGTTTGATATATGTCAGGCTCCCGCTCGCTCTCTCATGTTTTGAGGCCAGGTTCCTTTATAACTAGACATCCTGGAGAATAAATATTTACTTCCAAGTAACCTGAAAAATCTGGATTTTTACAAATTCAAGATAGGAACAAAAGGGGGAGAAAACCTATGAAAATAACCAGAGTCTATTTTTCACACTGGTCCAGAACAGCAAATACACCAATGAAAACAAAAATAGTCCTGCATCGTTTTCTTTAGAATTTTATTTTCAGAGATCTTGTGCAGAAAAATATAGTGGTTATTTTTTTTTAGTGTGATCAGATTTTGACATTTTCACCCAGCGTTGTTAACCCAGTGGAGACTGCTTGTACAAGTTTTACAGGTGGTGAGAAAACTCCAGCAAAGGAGAGTGATATCAGGCCCAGAACTCTCTCTGTTAAAATATAAACACAAAGATGTATCTTCCATATAGGGAAAAGAGAAAAAAAATCAAAATATAACTGGTCAGTACATAGCACAATCCAAGCCAAACAATCCAGCTGAAAATTTCCAATGTTCAAATACAATTTCACACCATACTATGGTATTTCCAGAGCTGGCAGCTGCATTCTTACTGAGGCAAAACTCCAAGTGGCTTCTGGGGGAGTTTTGCCTGAATAAAGACTGTAGCATTTTGGTTTTTCACAATACAAGTTTGATGCCCACAGGCTTATAGGAATTTTTTTTTAAAAGTGATTGTAAATTAGGTGAAATTGGCTGGTGGGGAAAAAGAAAAGACATCTTGGATTAGATTTTCATAAGTACTCAGTACCCACAATTGGGGACAGATTTTTCTAAGTGTCCCTCTTAGACACCCAAAATGAAGAGGTCAAAGTTTTTTTTTTCAAATGCTGTCAGCACTGATCTGCTCCCATTGGGAGGAATGGGAACTATGGTATGTTGTGCCTTAATGAAAAAGCTGGCTGAGGTCTTTAGAAAATCTCGCCCCTAATTTTTCTAAATTTGCTTTTTTAATTAGGCCCATTAACAAGTGATGACCAAGGCCATTTCTTCTAGGATATACATGAGGCACATGTGTTAACAAATGATGGGTTCCCTATTCTGCTGCTAAAAGGAACCCACTTGTAATTGGGGAACAATGCATCACAAAAGCGACCACTGCTCAATCAATGGATTTGATTCTACCAGCCCAATGGCGACTTTGCATCTTGGTTTTCACCAGCAATCAGTAACTGTCCACTGATGGCAAACAGAAGGGAATAATTTGGAATTCCTCAGGCTTTACGGGTTATCCTAGGCTAATGATTCTGCATACATTGAAATGCTAGCCATACAACTTGATGGATGTTTGAAGCATGTTATATTTCTCATGCTGGGCGCAATGCTTTTGTGTTGTCACAGGATAACGTTGCCTTTTGAACAGTTTAACTGATGGCAGCAATTTGCTAAGATTGTGGTGGCTTTTTTCAATGTGTTACAATGAAGAACTCTTAAGAGATAAAGTTGAATTTCAAGCAGCCCCAGTGATATAAGGTAGAGCATTCACTATCCAATCTCCTCTCTAATTCACCATCACTTGGATGCCAATTCTGCCTTTTAATGCTGCTTTTCTTTCCTTACTGATGCGGTAAGTCCCCCTACCCAAAACAGAGGAATACAAACATTTTAGGCCAAGCCAGGCCTATTTATTAATGTTCAATTCATTGTGAAAGTTTAAAAGCAGGATATGGAAAATACATCCCCACAGTGTTGTAGGCCAGAATGAAATTTTGCTGCCCAGCAAACACATCTAGGGCTAAAGGCAAAGAAAATGAAATGTCAATGGATTTTCTCTGATCTCAGTCACCTTTGCAATTTTTCTTTCAGTATACCTGTAACAAAATTCATAGAATTCAAGTAATAGGTTTCAAAGTAACTCCCAGGGGTGACAGTAACAAAAAACTGCAGCATCGTGTCTGAACCAAAACAACGACAGAGATTTGTACACACTTGACCGATACATGTAATTAAAGTTACATTCCCTTTGAATTGAACTGGCCATTTTGGGGTAGCACAACAAAGATCTTAATGAAGCATTTGGCAAGGATACCTCCCCGCATTTAGTATATTAGATTGCAAAACCACGATTCCATTTTGGAACTCTTTCATGGAAAAACCCTGCAGCGCTGGGCATACGTTTGTTTGTATTCAATGATTCTCCTTTGAGAGATCCATCAGATTTCCATCTTGGTTACCTTTCCCCTTCCTACGGGGAACTTCCAGCTTATTGTCCCGGTCTAATGAAGTGCAGACTTCACCTGGACAGCCCCACAAGTGGCTCCTCTCGAATGCAATGAATACAAATACTTGACCTCATGAGCCATGGGGCAGCAATTAGTTTAAGCAAGGGGTTTGTGTATCACTTCAAAAGTCTTAATCCGTGCGGTCAGCCCTGGCATGGTATTTGCCAGAACCTATTGAGTAGTCTTAATGAGTCTGCAAAGCAAGCTTTCAATACATTTTGGGTTGCTTCAGATGCTTTAAATGGCATAGTCTATATGGCATTGTGCAGTTTTAGAAAGGCCTAGGCTTTACCCCTTTCACAAGGCAGACAGAAACCATCTTTAGACCCGGGGCCCGTGACGTTTTGCATATCAATATGGCTCTGGCTGAATGTAGCCACTCAGCTGAGAAATAGGATCACGATCAGCGTTTCCAGGTTTTCACAGGCACTTGGGAAACTTTAAAGCCCTTCGTGGAGAATAATTTGGTCGAATGTCGTGGCTGAAAACAAAACCTAAACAAGCAAAGTGCAGTCCATCATGTGGCGCTGCCAGCGAAAGTGACAACAGGCTCCAGCGGCTCTGACATCCAACCCCCAGCGGGTTGGCGGAGAGGGCACTTCCATTTCCTTGCACACTTTGGAGGGGGGGGCAATTTTACGAGGTGCTGGGTACCTGCTGTTGAGGGCTGAGCAACCTCAGCTCCCCCTGGCTAGAGGGCGCGCAGCAGCACCTGGGATCGGGCCTCACTTAACATGAATTTTCAAAGGGGCAGGGGTAGGGCATGAGGGGAGGAGAGAGAGATTCCTCTACGGTTTGTACAAAGCTGGACAAACCCAACTGAACGAAACTGTAGAATTGATTCACAGAAAAAGCTACGGAAATGGGGGAAGAAGCCATTTACATGTAGCCTGAACCTCTTTCTGCTTCAATTCCCTCTTCAGGACCATATCCTCAGCTGGCCTGAAATCACTGTAGTTCCACTGAAATCAATGGAGCTGCTCTGATCTACGCCAGGTGTGAATCTAGCCTTTCGAGCGCCGCAGAAAATTAATCCAGATTTTGTTTGTTGTTTAACCTAGCACAGCGTCTTAACCAGGTACAATGCGGCTACGTTGGCTTTAGAAACTGACAGGAATGTAAAGCAGGGCAAAGACAATGCAAATTAGAAGTCACGTCTATTTCCAAGGGATACCAAAAAACATTCACGTTTCTCTCTCTGTCTCTCAATATATAAATAGCTGAGTTGTTCGTGTTCAACTTGGACCTGACATTGAGTCGCATCATTTTGTGCATCGTTTGTTGCGGCAGTAACAGATTAGCCTCCTGTCTGAAACCGACTAACACGCTCACCGTTAGCCATGAGTTTAGAGTCTTTAAGTGCCACCCATACAAAAGAAATGCCACACTGAAGAGGATGAAGAACAAAGAGGAGCCTCTTATTGTAGAAAAAGCAAAGAAGTGGGAGAAGCTTTAACGACCTGTATTGCAAACCAACTAAAAACACCCTATGTAAAATGCCAGATGCAAAATCAATCCGGAGAATGACTGGAACACGAAGGGACGCACTGGGAAGGGCAGAGGCTCTTTGCTTACATTGTATTTGTCTAGGAAAACACTGGCTACCCGAAAGAGTTTAACATTTTTGTTTAACAATGCAGCTGGAATGGTTTGCAACCAATGGCTTGTGACCATTGAAACAGCAAGTCAACCCTATGCCATACAGGATAGCCAGCACTGAGACTATGTTGTACTGGAATCAAATGGACCTATCACATAGTACAAAACCGTGCAGGGCCCGGGGCCCTCCAAAACCATGTAATGAGCTACTTAAAAAGACAAACAAGTCACTAATAAGATTATGAAAGGTTAATGAAGTTTTTTTTGCCCCTCTTTAATTATGAGAACACTTGAACTCATTCCACCGGCCTCCAATGACTGCCCTTTGTGGCTGCAAATCTGGAAACCGACTGGTAGGCACTGGGCTAAAGGTCAGACTTTTTTTGCTATATGTTCTTCGGCAAAATTGTTTTGGGGGGAGGGAGGGGATTTTTGTCATTACTCTTGGAGGTCTCCAACTTTATCACCTGTATTACATGTGATGCACAATGCAACCGGATCTGGAATATTTTCAGAACTACTGCTGCTAATTGTTTTTATTCTTTCAGACTATTTTAAATCAGGAAAAATACACCATTCTCTGGAGTCGCTGTTCGACCAGATGGATCATCAAATGCCAGTCACTGCCCAGTCTCAGAAAGAAAATTCGCCTCAATAAAAATCAACATGTGAGATGCAGAGCCAGCTGCAAAATGGGAAAGAGAAAATGATCAAAGTGCCATTCTGAAAACAGGGCCCCAATCCTGCAAGTACTTGCACGTGTGTCTAAGCTTTAAGCACATGAGTCGTCCCATTCTATTCAACGAGTGTTTTGACTCAGCTGTTAAGGCCCTGATTCAACAAAGCATTTAAGCACCTGCTTAGCTTTAAGCACCTGCTTAGCTTTAAGCTTTAAGTTAAGCAGGTGCTTAACTCCCATTGAGGTCAATTAGATGCAAGTACCAATTTAAAGCTGACTATGTGCTTAAGACGATTGTGCTTATTAGGCACAGAATTAATATTTCCTTTTATTTCAAACTTTGCCAATTTACAGTTCTTTTGTCCAACCCTGTCATATGCTACGTGATCACTCACCAAGACAAATAATATTTGGACTGACAAAGTATCAATAATTTTGTACGGTCATGGGGAAAAGAACTGGCAAGCCGATTTTGTGATGTGGCCTAGTAAATTTTTATAGCAATTTTGCAGATCTGGCAGAAACTATCAAACCAGGTAAGTGTTTCTAAGGTCACCGAATGTGACTTAGATCCAAAATTCAGCTCGTCTTTTTTAAAAGGGCTTTTACAAAACTCTAATGAACACAATGCTTTATTTATTGTACATTTTAATGAAAAAGAGCTTTGGGAAGAGGAGGGCGTCCATGTCCTCTTGAAGCATGGGAAACTGAAAACCAAACTTGCTGGGTGTAGGCCCAAAAGCTGGAAAGTGAAATTGAGTAGAAACACAAAGGCTCAGGTCCTCAAAGGTATGTGGAAGGGAGTTAGGTGCCTTTGAGGAGCCAGGCCAAAATTCACTGGCCCAACTGAGTGAAGCAGTGAAGCGTGCACACACACACACACACACACACACACTAGCAATAAAAAGTAAATAAGATTTTTTTTAAAACTGGGGCATGCTACTGGCCCCAATAAAGTCAAAATTCCATTGACTCCAATGGGAGGGGCAAGATCAGGCTCCTAACATGTTATCATCATGAGTCACTTGTGTTTTTAATATACCGGGCCAGCGTCTCAGCTGATGTAAACCAACCTAGCTCCTTTGAAGTCAATGGACCTACATTGCTGTACAGCAGCTTCGAACCTGGCTCCAGTTGTTATCTTTAGTGTCCCTTTGCAAGAAAGGCATCCAAGAACTAAACACAGCACTGATGTCTGGGGCCCTCTCCCCTGCTAATTAAAAGGGTCGGGATGGCTGATTGTGAATATTACAGCAGCATTAGGAGGCCAACTCTAATTTGCAAAGCTTTATTGTGAATCTTAGTGCCTTTGTCACTGCACACACACCCACACGTGCGCACACACACACCATCTGAAAACCATTCCGGTTAATATAGATTAGCAAGATTTATATGGAAGAATATTTAATCTGATCTGGGGTTGGGGGTTTTGTTTGTTTGTTTTTCTTTCTTAAATATTTCTCTCTACTCAGTAAGTGTACATTTCTCTCCAGGAACAGGTCCATTATAAATTAGAACATGGGAAGTGTCTTCCAAAAGCTTGCCTTGGACACACCTATGCTAGAGTCCCTGGGCAGCTTGGCACACAATGTGCAAAGGGCCCTGTAGGTCTGCTAAGGGGACTAGTTGCCCTCTCCCCACTGTGGCTTAGAAAGCCAATGGCCTGGTGAGATCTCAGTCCCACCCAAAGTCCTGCCCAGTCATCTGATAGAACTTCATGTTGAAGGGTCTATAAAATTCCTGCAGACGCTGGATCACCTGCCCGTGGATTTTTGGATGAGGCCGCCCTTTGGACTTCCCCAAACAGCGGGGCCGGCTGCTTCCTTCAGGCTTCTTCAGGCAAGGGAAGCCCTTGGTCTCATTGAAATAGAAGTGTTTGTCTGTCACGACTCTCTCGAGACCCAAGAAGTCTTGCACTCGGCCCATCTCCCCAGCTGGGTCACTCACGAGTCTTTCCCCGCTGACAAAGAGGAATTTTGAAAGGGGGAAGTACTGCAACCAGTTGTCCAGGTGCTTGGCATAGATGCCGATCCGCACCGCACTCCAGGTGGTGTCGATGAGGCCCGTGCTGATGTTCTTGAAGGCCAGTGCCTGGAAGCTGGGTATGGTGGGGTTTTTGGACAGTGTCTGTGTGTAGTCCGAGATGGCCCTGGTGACTGGGTTCCTCACCACCACAATCAGCTTGGTGTCCCTGGACATGTTGTAAATACGTTTGGGGGCCTCCTTGGTCACAAAATAACTCGGGGTTTTCTCCATCGTGATCTGCCCCTCTATAGTCCGCGGCATCAGGTTCCTGTGGAAAGGAAAGGACAACAGTAATGACTCAAGTGGATCTGTCCAGCTTTGACCCATTAACACTTTCAGGGATGGGCACCAGTGTAAGAACGAGCGGATAATATCAAGCCATCAGCCCCCACATGCCAAGCCCAATGCTCAGGGAAAATCCCTCATCAAAACGCTTTAAAATCCCTTCTTAAGCCCTATTGTGTTGTGCTGCCTACAAGCCATTCCCATCAGGCCCTGATTAGGGTTGGGACTTCAATTTTTTTGCTAAACTCTGTTTCTTTTGTTACCTCCCTCTCCAACAGACCCCTACTTCATTACTCTGTTTTGTCCACCTGTGGCATGGCTAGACTGTGAGCTGCCTTGGGCAAGGACTGTCCTCGGTACTTGTCTACAGAGTGCTTAGCACAATGGAGTGCTGATCCTTGTCTGGGATTGCTAGATGCTACCGCAGTACAGACAGACACACCAAGTGCAACCCCATTCACTACAATGGGGTTGCATGGGAGGTAAGTCAGAGCAGGAACTGGCTTTAGTCTGTAATAGTGTGGACAAGAAGCAAAGTACAGTACGACAATCACAGTACTTGTCTTCTCCTGAATTAAGCACGCAGGTCAAGGTTCTGATGTCAATGACCTTGGTATAAGATCTGGAGTCACTCTGAGGAGTGACTCCAGAATTACAGGACCGTGGCCAATGTGGATGGGTGGCAATGGATGATTAGTAGAAGACTTTCTTTTCTAACTAGCTGGTGGAACTCCAGAATGGGTCAGCAATGACCGCGCCTTCCCTTCCGTTTGTACTGCACCTGGCACATTGTGGGCTCTACCAGAAAAAAGTTAAATAATAATAGCGAGCGACGATGTTGACATCTGAGGGCTGTCTGGGCCCTCTCTTGAATGGGTGGAGAGCCAGATCGAGTTCAGGCTGTCCAATTGTCCATAGCACCAAAGTCACTGTCATTGTTGATACTAATTGGCATCATCGTTGGCATCATCAGCAAAAAAGCCGAGGAAATGGTGGGGGAGACTAAGCTACTCTCTGACCCCCAGAAACAGTGGCCGCAGGACAGGGTTGGTGGGGACAGCATGGTGTGTGACTCCCGGCCCCTTCACAAGACCTGAATTCTCTTCAAACCTTGAAAATCCAAATGCCCTCTTGGGCTTGTGATAACATTAAAAACCTGGCTGGATTTTAGCCACGTCCCTGACATTAATAGCCATGGGATCTGCACAGACAGAGTGTCCTGCAGAGATTAGAATACACCCCAGTCCCAGGTATGCCTTTAAAGGGCAAACTCATGAATCCGAGACTCTGATCTAACGCCACGTTCTAATCTCAGTTTATGAGATCGCTCTCCTAGAAGCATAATCAAAAAACAGCCCAGATTGTTGCTCCTAGGAGAACTCTAAGAGTTCTCACACCCCCAAAAAGAACCCCTTTTTCCTCCTTTTACCATGCCTTGACACACCAGTTTGTTCATTTTAAACTGCCTGCCAGCTAATGAGACCTGGGATGTGGGGATCCATTTAGACTCTAATGGGCACTTTGTTTTCTGACAGGCTGGACTTGCTCACTTACAGAGACCCTTCCAAGATTTCGCTACCAAAACAAAACAGAATGCTGCCTACAATGGTATTGTCAGGAGCTGGCCAGTGTGTATGTACATGACTGCCCCCCCTGCTGGATGGACTCAGAACTGTTCAGCTTTGTATCATAAACCCAATAGTGCTAACTGGAGCTGGTTGAAATAATGTCGGTGAAACTTTTCCACTGAAAAATGCCATTGATTCCAAACCAAAAAGTGTGACTAGTCAATAGCCCAGTGGATAAGGCACTCCTCTGATATGGCGGACCCCCAGTTCCAGTCCCCACTCTGCATCATTCAAAGCAGTGACTTTAACCTGGGTTCCAGAGTGGGAAGATATCTTGCTTTGCTGTTTTTGTTTTCTTGTGAAAAAAATTCCAAAGGCCTCGGTTTCATTCTGCATCAGAATGAAAACAAATGTCAAAACTTTGAAATTCTTTACAAAATAGTTTCACTGCATTCCAGCCAGCCCCAGGTCGGAGAGGTTCTCTGTCAGCTCAAAGGGTTGGGGTCTGTTTCTTTGGATCCGAGTTCGGTCACGGTGGAGTTCCGAGCAACAACGGAGCTCAGCAAGCCTCAAGTCCATGGTGCTCACCTAGTAATGTGATGGATTCGCCATCACTTGCTGGCTCTAAGCCAAGACTGGATGTCTTTCTGCTATGGCTCCAACAGACGTTATGGGCTCAACATAGGTTCTCTAGCCTGTGTGATAAAGGACGTCAAATTAAACAATTATGATGATCCCGTCTGGCCTTATAATCCACAAAAGCCCTCGGGGGCCATGGATTGTGTCACTATTACACAGGGCTGACCTCAGAAGAGCTTTCAAAAGAAGCTAGTATCCTCTTTTTTTTTTTTCGTAAAAGGAAACTCGGAAGCTAGAAATTAAGACAGTTTTAGAAAAATGCTGGGTTTCCTTCAAAGAAACGTGGAAGGACCTTTCCATATAAAGAATTTCTGGATGGCAATGTTCTCTCTAACAGCTTGGGAGGTCACATTGCCACTGGGTATAGCCCCACTGAATACACCCCCCTGTGAATTTGGCCCAGGCTTCTTGAAGAGAAGAGCCCAGCTGTGTCGATGATTGATTTCAGACCGACGCCCCCACAAACCCTACTCCTTGTCTGAAGCCAAAGGGGCTGCCCTCTTCCTGAGCTGTCAAGCTCAGTTTGGTGCCGTGTAAGTCTCAGACCCGGTGAGCAGGAGAGAAGAATTAATCAGTCTGTCTGCATAAATATCCTAGCAGGCGGATGAGGGCCTGCACTACGTGAGTTACTGGGGCTGCTCTGAGGACCATCAGAGCTGCTTGGAAATAATGAGAGGCTGAAAGTGAGAGGAGAGGAGTGTGGGGAACTGGGTCTTCAAGGACTTACTCTACAGCACAGTCTTAACAGACCTGTCTCTATTGCAACGTCAAAGAGCGAGAAGCGTTACAGCGCGAACTCTTCACCGACATGGGTTTATCGGCCAGGTGTAGCCACATGCTTCGGGCTGCACACGGAGAAGGAAAAGCTCAGACTGTACCACACTAGTTAGCCCAGTTTGGACAGATTCAACTCTGCTAGGCTGTACTAGGACCCTGAGGGGTCGGAGAAGTGGGATGATTTCCAATGCCGCTGCTTGGTCTCTGGTACAGAAGGGGATGCAGTTGTAAAAAGGGAGCTCTCCTCTCTAGGCCTGAGGCAAGTCCACCCCTGGTTCTCTCACAGCAGGACCCAAGTAACTCCTCTTGAAGTCAGTGGGGGAGCCTGCAGCAGGTGTACTGAGGCCACTGGTGTGCAAAAACCCCATGAAAGTCTATTTCATTGGTGTCAGAGAGAAGAATCTGGCCCCATTTTACTCACTGTCAGCAGCCCAATCAAATTCACTTTACTAAAGGAAGAGACTAAGGTAAAATCTCTCACCTAACCTTGCCCTATCACAATCCAACCGCCAAAGCGTTTTCAGTTCACTTTCTCTCTTACTGGAGATGGTTTCTCTCTCTCTCTCCGATGCACTCCTCAACAAATCCAGTCTCAAGTCTTTTAACACAAAAGCAAACTTCTCTGATTGCTGCACCAATAAATATTTATAGGGTGTTCAACGGTTTTTTATTCTTCATGTAGTGAGCTGCAGGTTGTAATTGTAAAGGCTTCTTTTTTCTCACCCTTGCGTTTTCATGATTGGAGTTCCCATCACTGTGACGGATGGAGAACTCCTGGCAATGTTACTGTTTAATCAATAGCTGTAAAGAGGCCAGCTGGGATGCTGTGGGACTTGCCAACAGCATAGTGAACTCCTTCTATTAAAAACCGTTCAGTTCCCAATTTCGCACACAAAAGGTGTGAGCAAAAATGCAAATAAAACGCCAGATTGAGTCCTGCGCATTCCTTTGCTAATTCTCCTGCCACCCACTCCCCTGACCAGCGCTTCCCCCAGGAAGGCAGGAAACGCATGGAATACGCAGTGTTTCATTGGACTTGTCCAGTAAACACTCCAAGATGGTTTTTCGACAACATAAGACCCCGGCCATTGTTTAAAAATTCAAATGTGCTTTTAGCATATCCTGTCGTCTCTCTGAAATGTGGTGCGGGGGAACTGAAACGTATAGATGATGATAAACAACCCAGGCTAAATAGCTGGTATGAACTGGTGTAGGAGCTATGCCAATTTACACAGCTGAGAATCTGGTCCTGTTTCTATTTTTCAGGCAGCATGGAAGTTTGGGCGGGAGAGGGGAAAAGTTTTGTTTGTTCTAACACCTAGCTAATGTCATAACAGCGCAATGTGGAGTTACAATTGTAAGGATTAAAAACAAAGCAGAATTTTGGAAGGGATATAAAACTCCTGCTCAGAGCACAAGCCAAACTGGCTTGGGACTCAGGAACCCTGGATTCAATTCCTGCCTCTGCCACTGGTTTGTTGAGTGACCTTGGGCAAGTTACTTCCATTCCCTGTGCCTCAGTTTCCCCACCTGTAAAATGTGAATAACGATAGCAACCAGAGCTGGATTAACCCATCACTGGGCCGTAGGCAAACATACACTTCTGGGCCCCTCTGCTGGCCAGCTAAGCTCCCACGGTGTGGACATATTTATATTAACCAGCACAGCTGCACTAGTGATCTATTAACCCAAATACATCCGCTCCCACCGCATAGATGTTGCTTAGTTAACCCTCTTTTGTCCAGATCAGTCAGTGACTGGCTCCTGCTGCGCAGACACTGCCCCACATGTCCCATCCTCCGGGCTCCTTGGGCCAGCTTCCCCATGTGGGCATTCACGGCAGCGCCCTGTACATCTAACAGGTCTCGAGGCTGTCGCTGAGTGGGCAGACCAGAGGAGTCAGGGGTTGCTGGAAGTGGGACAAGGCCAAGAAGGCCCCAGTGGGGAGCCCTGGTGCAGGAGCCAGCCCCGTGGCAGCAGTGAGGAGCAGCACTGGCTG